GACATGCAGCAAAGAGACTTCGGCCAATAACCTCTTGTCGGCTGGTTGTGCATAATTTTGGGCGCAGCGTGCCACCACCGAAAAATGACCAGCAACACGTGCTCCATGGCAAAGTAGCAGTGACTTAGTAGCTACTTTCTTTTATGCTGCTTTGCACTTTCATTTGCAATTATGTAGCACAGTTGAGGGCGGCTGCCACTCAAAACGCCCGGAAATATGCAATATATGTAGAACAAATGTATGCTAATGCTAACGGCAAGCGCAGCAAGTGGCCATATGACCATTTAGGGTTAGGTGAATTGGTTCACGTTTCTGCAAAACACTTTTCCAAAGGGTTGTGCTGACTTCTGTGCGTTAGGCGTGGCTGCTGTGCGTTGATAAGGCCAGCCATATGCACTTTACGCCGCACCACCCACGCACGCACAATTTGCTTAATGTTTTTGACATAAAATTTTAATATTTATGCTCGAGTACTTTACCCAAATACCTCGCACTCAACGTGGCATGCTCTCAATATAATATTTATTTTTATTGCATACTCTCAAGCGCGTAGACGATTTTCAATGAAATAATATTTCACTATAATTGTGCAGGGGCTAAAGCTCAAATGCTTTGCCGCGTTTTGCGCACTCTGTGATAACGCGAAATGCTAATTTTGGTCGTTTACATTTATTGTTATGTCGCTAGTTATAGCCTACCTTTAGGCTTTGCAAAACAATTAGGCAAGAAAATCTGTAACATAATTCTGTATGCAAATTAGTTTTGGGTGTGAATTGTGCTTGCACTAAGTACTTTTATGGGGAATAAAATTGTTGCATACTTTTTGGCGCAAAAGGCCAAATGGCTGACTTATTGCTTAAGTTTTTGTTATAATGCGCAAAAAGTAGTATTTAGCTTTTATTTTAGCGAAGAATCATAATTTTTTCCCCTTGAAAATAGTTATTACTTCTTTGCATACTTTTAGGAAGTATTTTTAATAGTTGGAAATTTGATTTCTATAGCGATTGCTGTAGAAAATAGGAAATTTATTTTTCAACAACTATTTAAAATATTTTAAAAGGTCTTGAACTATTTATAAGTAGTCAAAAAAACAGTGGAACAGACTAACTACGTTTAGGGTTAACTTTTTGTTGTGGGAAATTTTGTTTACATGAAAAACTTTATTAAAACTGTTCTAAAATGTATAACTAAAAAATTGTGCGTCACATCGTCATGAAAACAGATAATATTGTTTGCATAATTTTAGAATACATTTTTGAGAGTAAAGAATTTTGTTTTTTTGACACTCGCTATCGATTATAAGATATTTATTATATGAAATAGTTAAAAAAAATGTCGTTTTATCAAGAAAAATATCACGAATTTTTTCGTATACTTTTAGGATACATTTTCGGTAGTGGAAATTTTGGTTTTCTGTGCAACTGCTATCTAAGATAAAAAATGTTGTATCTAAAATAGTTAAAAAGTATGTCATTTCGTAAAACAATATATAACTGATTTTTTTGGCATACTTTTCGGATGAATTTATATTAGTGAAAATTTTGGTTTTCTAAACAACTGTTTATACAATGTTTTAAAATGTGTAAAAATAACTGAAATTCGTCTCGAAAAATAAAAATGTTGGGCCGGTGTGTAAGTATACAAGGATCCAGCGACGACGTTGCAACACTTTTGGGCGCTGATTACTTGAAGGTTTGTAGTAAATTTATAATAACTCAATTAAGAATTTAATATAATTATTATCGAACTGAAATTCTTACAAAATATTTACTTTCCAAACTGCTGTTATTAAAGCCAAACATTCCATTCAAACTCTGCTTAAATCCATTTCATATACTAACTTCACAGTTTTATTACTATTTACTTTTTTTTCACAAATAAAAATGTCAAACAAATAAATATGCGTTTGCATTCTCTTACTTAGATTTTCCGTAAAATTTTCCAAACAACATGAATTTTCTAACAATTGTTGCCATTGGCAACTGCATGAGAGCGCACATTGCAACCAATGATTCTGTTATGCTAGGCCCTTACTACTAAAAAATACAGGCACAATAAAAGAATTTATACGGCAAAAGAATGCGCTCACACACTCACACAATTTTCTTGTTGTGTAAGCCGCTTTGCTCAGCCACTTCGCCTGTATATTTTCGGTTGGATTTAAATTGAAAGGACTGTCACTTCACATGCTCTTTATCCTTTTGAAAGTCAAGTTTATCAGGCCTGCCTGCGAAATAGGCAGCCTACATTGGAATTCTTAGGCATTTGTTGCAGGCTCCACACACCGTTCGCCTAACACCAGTCGAACTATTTCTTGCTAACAGCGCTGCTGTTACTTAGTTACCTCTTGTGTGTGCTTTGAGTCTTCTCTTTCGTTTTATGGATACTTGCACTTACATTACTTTCATGTCAGCAACAGTTACTGGCGGCAATGGAGTTAGCATCATCACCGCCATCATCATAGATTCTCCATTTTATTGTAGTCAACTTCAGGCCGTATTTTATTCTTTGCTAGTTAGTTTGTGTTGGCTTGTTGAGGATTTGAGTTTTGTGTTCTTTGTTTTGGTTACTGTGAGATACGAATGTGGTACAGTGGATCGGTTGAGGAAGTCCGACTTGAAATATTACATGCGTTTTTCAAGTTTTTTCCGTTTCAATTGAGTTGTGTTATACAAGGTCATGGCTTTAGTAAGTTTGGAGCAGAAAATGGTCCACTAACCAATTTTAAGCTTTTAAAAAACTTTCTGCTTTTTGTTCGGGGTATACCTTTATGGATTTTTTAACAAAAAAGGAACCGTGTAGGTCGATTCGTTTCCGAAAGTCTAATGACATTTTTTTATAAAAATTTATGCTCCGATTTTCGGAAATGTTTTTTAAAGACTTTTATTTCTTAGATATCGTCACTTAAAATGCAAAACAACGTATCATCAAACAATTCGAAATTGAGTTTTTTATTGCTTACGATTTATTACATCATACTGCGTATTGTACCATAAACTTTTAAGCTTCTGCTGTCCAATATAACCAATACATAACCAGGATATAACCAATAAATAACCATTTTATAACCAAAACTCACATTTTGTTTCAATTTAAGTGGTTTCTGTATCTCCTTCACTTGTAAGCTTATGAAAAGTGATGTTATGTTATTTGTCATTTTTAATGACAATATATGCATACACTACTTACACATATGTATATAAAAAAATTTAAAGAACAACATGATTTTATACCACTGTTGACTGTACTGAATACTATTGTTATTTAGAATAATACATTTTTAACTACACACAGTCCCTTAATACACTTTTTGCCACCATCTCAGTTCTGGTAAATATTGACCTTTCTTAAAACCCAACTTTCATCCAGCCAGTTTCTTTTTGCCCTACCATAATCCAATATGTACATGAGCGCAGCAGGTGCTCTAAGCTAGTTTTCTTGCATAGTGGATGCAGAAATTTGCATTTTCATGTTTATTGATGTCTTAATTTTCTAGTTCTAAAGGAAATATGAAACAAATTTTCCTGTCAGCACCACAAAGGGTATACAAAAGCGTAATTTGTGCGCATTGCAGTTGCTAATTGTTTTGCTGCAACAATGCACAATTGAAATGGAGCAGAGTTAATACAGATTTTGTTCAAATTTATGAATATATACAAATGTATTTTTATGAAAATGTTTGCGAAATTTAAAATTCCTACGCATAAAATATGCTGCTTCATGCAAGAATTACATTTTTCCTAAGCAAGGAATTTTATTTTTGAACAAGTGTTCTACATTTCAGTAGAATTTTATTTCAAATACATGTTTCATTGCACTCTCAAGTTCAATTACATAATATTTTGTGAAAAACAGCTGCTGAAATGTTTGTTTCTTATTTCAAAACTGCCAACAAGTAACATTTGCATTTGGTTTCCGTATTTCATTTGTTAAAGTTTTGGTTATGGCTGTTCTCTACAAATGTAATAAGTTTTGTATATTTTCAGCCAAGTTTTAATCAAACATATCCAAGAAGTCACTTTGAATACTTACAACTATATATACATATATTATAATATGTAAATCCCCATGTAATTGCAATTGTAGCACCATCAATTCTTCCTTGCCTCTTAACAAAAATGGCTTGGCATTGCTTGTTACGTTGGCGTGCGGAAATTACAAAAGTCCTTTGCCAATAATTATGATAACATCACTGGAAGGGCGTAGGTTATGTAGCGACTTTGCCAAATTTTGCATAGGCTTGTGTTTTATTGCTTGCTTGCTAGCTTGCTTGAGGTCACCAGGGCGTATACGTAATCGATTGGCACTCAACACATTTGCTCATACATACATAAATGTGTCTAGTATAGAATAAGACACAACTAAATGAGCTAAGGAATATACTTATATCATAAGGATATTTGTGTGTGTATTACACCAGAGTGTTTTTTTTTTTTTTTTTTTTTTTTTTTTTTTTTTTTTTTTTTTTTTTTTTTTTTTTTTTTTTTTTTTTTTTTTTTTTTTTTTGACCTCATTAAATTTGAGTCCTTAATATTAACATTAAGTACTCAACTAGGCCTGTAAAAATGTTCCATTGAAAATACATGAAAATCGCGATTTTTTGTCTTTAAATTTCTATAGCTCAGAGGAAAAGGAAAAGCTATAAAAAAAATGTAAATGACAAACTTATAGAAAATTTTATTTGTTACAAAAAAGATCCGTGAGCAAAATCGCTATCATTAATACTTCTCGAGATAATCGCTTTTTTAAGAATTCCTTTTGCAAAAACCTCAAAAAACCTACTTACAAGTGGATATACCATTCAATATTTATTTAGTTTTATTTTAATGTTATTACATTTTTATTATTTTTTATTTTTACTCTATACTTTTCGTAAAATGACTTTAAGAAAGCTTTGTATTTGAAACAGCAAAAATATTACGAACGAGTTGTTGAGTCACCTTCGTATATGAAATTTCTTAAATTCTCTCATTCAACTTATTTTATTTTGTTTTTTCCAGATTTACACCGACTGGGCCAACTACTATCTCGAACGTGCCAAATCCAAAAAGAAAGTCACCGATTTGTCAACAGACTGCCGCGATGGTCTGCTACTCGCGGAAGTCATTGAAGCGGTGACGTCGTTTAAAGTGCCAGACTTGGTGAAAAAGCCGAAAAATCAGCAACAAATGGTAAGTTTATATAAAAATATGTAGAGTTTATGGTTACTATTTGTTTTTTAAGCTAAAATTAATTTCGAAAATAACATACTTGCTGAGAGGGAGTTTTTCTGCAATGAACATTTATATGTATCAAAAAAGTTTTGCTTCTCAGACAGCCTATAGAAATAAATTTTGTTTTGAATAATATTTTTTGCCATAATTTATATAAAAGCATCAATTCAGCACCAACGTGATGCACAATCGCCCAATTACTTCTTAAATTTATAAAAATGATAATTTCATAATTAATTCCATACATCAAAAGCCACTATTTCGCTAACTTCCTAATTATGCAATGTTTTCAATGTAATCTGAGTGCAACAACATTTGAAAATATACACAAATAAAGCTCGCATAAGTGTACAACACACCTTAAGGCTTTAAGCGTAAATGTCTAAAAGCTTTAGCAGCCACGACCGCAAAATGCGCAGGTAAACTCGTGTGTGGAAGTGCACTTTTCCCTCAAGAGTGCTTGTCACACCTCCAACAACAAACACATTACACTTATCTGACTCATCCATGGCAAACGCTGATATCACCGCGCATAAACGCATACACATAAATATTTCCGTATATGTCTCAATGTATGTGTGGAATGTGTTTAAAACAGAACCAACTGCCGCGTAATAGAAAACTCGTTAATTGTTTTTCGCACATACAAAAGTCGCGGCACAAAACGTGAAAATATTTCATTTTCCCCATATTTTTCAACCACCGTTAGATAGCGTTTTGTTGCAGAAGCACTAGTTTGCGGTACAGTGAGCAAGAATCGTTGGCTGTTGTCATATACCCAGGAAGGGTTTGACATACTGAAATTTTTTTAGAAAATTGGAAAAAGTTTAAATACAAATTCTGTTGTCTACAAAAATGTAAAAAAGATTGGTTTAGCGCCTTAAAGTATACTTCAAGGCAAAAAATATAGCGAAACATTATTTTTTATAGAAAATTTACGTAAATTTACAAAAACCATTTATTTTCTTCAAAAATATTAACATTTTGGTATGGCTCCTAAAAGTATACCTAATGCAAAATTAGCGTGATATGTTATATTTGAAATTGAAATAAATTTACTAAAAATGTTTTCCTCAAAAATGTTTAAAAAATAAAATGTTCGCGCCTAAAATTATACCTAAGCCATATGTAATAAAAATATCTATTTCAATATACTCCCGAGAACTCCACTCTATATGCGTGTAGGGTATATCTCCCTTCCAATTTTTGGCGGCAGACATAGTCCGCACTTGACTTTATTCGTCACGCACACACCCCATATTCACGCAAATACAAACTGCATTTACTGCCATCATTCACGTTGAAACACACACATGTACACGCATGTGAATTTGTCTTTATCTACGTCTAGCGTGGCGCTGTAACGCAATGCGACGTGTTGAAAAGCCACGACAACCAACTTGACTGGTGATGCCACATATCCTTCGGTGACGCGGTTGGAAGAGTGTCAGCAGCGCAGTTGAGGGAAATCGTATTAATGACAAACTGTATCCTAGCAAATGAATGAATGAAGGTAGAAACTTACTAACGAAAAAATTAAATTAAAGTAGAAACTAAAATAAATAAATGACGTAAATAAGGAGAAAGGATAAATGCAACGTCCGAATTAAATTATTTTAAGCTTAAAGAGCTGTCCTGTTTGACAGTTGAATAAAATAAGTTAAGGTAAGTTTCATGAGGAATATTTAATATGATATGAGAATTGAGAATTGTTGAATAGTAGATAATATTTTATGATTTTATGAGGAATTTGATATGATTTATAGAATATCATTATATGGTATGACATCACGTTTATGACTTAAATTAGCATGATAAAGTAAAAAGTAAGGTCATGTGATATCAAATGGTATCATTTCAAGTTAATGTGAATTTTTTTGGTAAATTGCTGTGACTTTGCATTTTACGTGATGAAATATCATATGACATCTGAATGCATATTTCCTGCTTATTATCAATCTTAGATAACTCGTATATTAGTCAGATATTGCTATCCACCTCTCTCAGGTATATGATCGAGTGATTTAGAGTCAAGTCACTTGAAATGAACTAGCTTAACTTTTAATGTGAAGAAGAGGATCGAGTACACATTAAAAACTCGTTGACTTAAGACAATTTTGAATCATCTGATCGTACACTACATGATGAATAGTCACATGATTTTCTGAAAAATTTAATTAGAATTTCCCAACATCATGTGATGCTGTGGCACTGTCTCGTCATGTGTTGTTACGGTTGAAATATGATAATTTGTGTCATGTGATCCGGAAAAGTTATTATGAATGTGCATCTTGTGATACATAATCATATGATCTCAATTGTCATTGATTTTCTTAATATTAATGGAACATCAAGTGTCTTATAGTCATACAATTTTAAATGACAAAGATGACGTATAATCACATCATTTTTATGAAATGAACATGATATCATGTCTATATGATCTTAAAGTAACATCATGTGATATATAATCATATAATCTTAATGGAGTATCATGCCAAATATAATCATTGACCCATCAACAAATCAAAGATATATTAAGAACAAGTAAGGAAGGGCTAAGTTCGGGTGTCACCGAACATTTTATACTTTCGCATGATAAAGTGATAATCAAGATTTCATTTACATATTTTTTTTTTTTTTTTTGCTGTAAAATTAATTAGATTAGGTCAATTTGTGTACTTTGAGTATTGAATTGTATTTTTATTTATTTTAATTGTATTGAAAAGTTATAGTCCGATCACGACAATTTTTCCGCAAGGGATACACACCTCAGCTCAAATACCGTATTTGTGTAAAGTTTTATTCCGCTATCGTTATTGGTTCCTAATGTATATATTATACAGAGAAGGCATCAGATGGAATTCAAAATAGCGTTATATTGGAAGAAGGCGTGGTTGTGAACCGATTTCACCCATATTTCGCACATGTCATCAGGGTGTTAAGRAAATATTACATAACGAATTTTATTGAAATTGGTCGAGTAGTTTCTGAGATGTGGTTTTTGGTCCAAAAGTGGGCGACGCCACGCCCATTTTAAATTAAAAAAAACGCCTGGGTGAAGCTTTCTTCCGCCATTTTTTGTTAGTCGGTTAACGCACTTTTAGTGATTTTCAACATAACCTTTGTATGGGTGGTGGACGTGGTTATTATCCGATTTCTTCCATTTTTGAACTGTATATGGGCGTGGCAGTGGGCCGATTTTGCACATCTTCGAACCTAACCTTCCTATGGAGACAAGAAATACGTGTACCAAGTTTCATCATGATTTCTCAATTTTTACTCAAGTTACAGCTTGCACGGACGGACAGACAGACATCCGGATTTCAACTCTACTCGTCACCCTGATCACTTTGGTATATATAACCCTATAGCTGACTCTTTTAGTTTTAGGACTTACAAACAACAGTTATGTGAACAAAACTATAATACTCTCCTTAGCAACTTTGTTGCGAGAGTATAATAATATATAATATCTACTATATAGCTCTGAATTCACATTTTTACCTACAAAAAAACTGTCCATAATACGCTTGATCCAATATATAACTCGGCACACACCTTTAAACACACACGCAAACCTCTCACGTAATGGTTCCCTAGGCAGCGAATATGTCGCCCATTTGCCTATTGAAGTTCAAAGACACGTAAAATGAATCAAAATCCTCTTACAACTTTTCTTGCTTTGCTTAGTTACCACTTCGCTGTAGCGCAAAATGCAAATATAAATAAAATAAAACGCATCCCCAACGTACTGCGCATACGGCACAAACTTTTGCTTAAATCAACATTTGAATAGCGCTAGGAAAAATGCTGGCGCGTAACAGGCCAGTAGCCAAGTAACGGCACAGCGATTGAAAAAAGCGCTTGAAAGCTTGAAAAATTTACACGAAAGGCTGGCTGGCAGACTTGACTTTGAGCACTTTTACATTTCGCTGATTTTTCACTACATGCGCGCACGCTGCAAACGGCGGTGCGCGGATAGGTATGCTTTTTTGCGCTTCACTCCACTCAACTCAGTTCAACTTCGCTTTGCTTTGTTCCACTTGGCGTGCATTTGCTGAAACCACTCATTAGAAAAAGTGTTGGCTGCGGCGCATACAAAAATTGTTTTATTTCCTATTTTCTCGCTTTCCGCCGCGCGCATACTTGGCGCTGACTGTTTCTTTCTGTTTTTCCCTTTTCTTTTGCACTTTTTGTCAACTTCTGTGCAAGTTTTGTTTCAAAACTTTATTAAAAACTTGCCGTGTTTGCATTAGCTGTGCTGAGCACTCAAGAGGAAAAGGTTGGTAGAGAAAAAAAAACTAACGGTACTGCAATTTGATAGAGTTAGAGTAAGCAGCTAGTGTAATTTTTGTTCTACTTGTTAGGTTGGCTGAAGGTGTAAGTATTCGCCCGTATTTGATTTAAAAGTTTTATTATTATTGTATTGAATTTATTTAAATGTGTTAGCCGTTAGTTTGAGTGATGTTGGCTGTCAAGTGAGTAGAGAGATAGTGAGAGAACTAAGTACACAGTGAGTGGAAAAGTTTGCGAACATTGACCATGAAGTAATGAGCTTTAAATTGGCTGGGTTCAAGGAAATTTAAGTGAAAGAAAGTTTCACATCTTTTTTTATGAATTAATTACTGATAACTTTGAGTGATTTTCCTGAATACAGGTATTTAAACTTTATAAGACTCACACCAGTAGAAATATCAGTTTAAGAAGAGAAAAAAATTAAGATAAAAGAAAATAGTGAAAAAAATGTTAAAAAATAATTTTAAAAAATTCCAAAGATATATTTTTTATCATATTTATTATTATTATTATTATTATTATTATTTTTTTTTTTTTTTTTTTTTTTTTTTGGACAAAATTTTGACGAATTGGTTGCCTTTTTTAAAAGTCATTTTATCTAATAATAAAAAAATTTAAAGCACACGTATAGAATACAATGGGAACGGGTGGGTGCTACG